AAAGGGCATAGTGTTCAAAGGAATTTATTTAATTTATTTACTTTTAAAATGTTTAAACTGCCCCATTATCCACAATAATTCCCGAGACAGGGTACACAATACTTTAAAAGAACAAATCCAGCATGAAAAAAGTGAATTCATAAAATAAGCAGCAAGAAAGTCCTCAGTCAGCAAACTAAGAAAAACAATCTTTTTTTAAAAAAAGGTAAGTTCCATTAGTTCTCAGCCTTATCCTTTCTGTAGCTAACTTGCTTAAAAAAAAAAAAAGAACATAGTCTGAAGATGGAACTAAATTGTCCATACAATCTGAGAGTTCTGTCAGGGTATTATTGTGTCATGAGCTCTTTGTCATATGCTCTTTGTATTGCCACCCCTGTCCTTATGGGGCAGATTCAATTGAACTGGGTTGATTCAGTACAGGGTACTACCTCACTCTTCAAATGGCCTTAAAAAGAGCCAGGGTTGGCACTTTGATTCTGAGTCAGTCCAGTAATCTGTCCTGACTCTGCTTCATTCTGTCCTTGTCCATAACCATCTTGTCCAGAATTAATTTATTTTCTTTTTATTCTAAATGGCATAGTGCTGCATCAGTGTTGCACACAGAAAGATCAATGTCTATGTGATGCAGCACTAAAGTCGAATGGCCTGTTTAAAAACATGGTTAATAGCAGGCAGGATTTCCCAATGGGACAGCATCTTGTGCCACCACAAACATATCACTAAGATGTCAGCACAGGGAACACCCCTATAGGCAGAATATGATGACCTGGCAATTCACACAACCAAAAATGGGTAAAAAAATCAATGTGATGTAGTGCAATTTAAAACAAACAACCTCCTGATGGGTATTCAAAAAGAAATGATTCCTCAAAGAAAAGTGTGAGTTTTCCCTACACTTGCAACAATGTTATATAGTCGCAATTTTTTGAATCAATTTGCATTGTGCTAAACCTGGAGTACTGTAATTGGAGGAGAAAAAGAAATGATTCCTCAAAGAAAAGTGTGAGTTTTCCCCACACTTGCAACAAGTCGCAATTTTTTGAATCAATTTGCATTGTGCTAAACCCGGAGTACTGTAATTGGAGAAGTATATTGCAATTTAGTCACACCCTCAGTTAAAAATCATTTAGAATGTTTGGCTGAAAGCGATCATCGCACAGCGAAAAATCGCCATAGGGGCCATCGCTGAGCGAATGCTCCAGCGATGGCCCAGAGTGCCTCGTTAAGCGATTTCATCGCTCAGCGAGGCACTCGTTAAGCGAGGCACCACTGTATTGCAATTTAGTCACACCCTCAGTTGAAAATCATTTAGAATGTTTGGCTGAAAATAGACTTGTTTCTACATTGATAAATTTGTTAGAATATGGTCATTTTGGTCTACCTTTCAGAAACATGCATCTTTGTATATACAATAGTTGAAATTGTGACACCTTCAAGTATTGAGCAATCAAAGGAGAAATTGGTTCTTTCACAGATCTCCAGTTCTTTCATAGATCTTCATAAAATTTGTACAGTATACATGTATCTAGTACAGTATTTTTAAGCACTGACTCACAGAAGCAGTGTTTATACTAACTTTCATTTTTATAATGTGGTTTTGAATGGTTTTTTTATCTTACTTCATGGTTGTTGCAATATGATGACATATTTAATTAAATTTTAACATTGTAACAAATTATTTTTTAACCATTTTGTAAGCCTCCCTGGTTCACTATACTGAAATAAAAGTAGTATATAAGATAAACACATATTTATGTCTTGTTAAAATGCTTCCTTTCTGTTCTGTCTTGGTCCTCCTCCATACTAATTATGCAGCAACTAATGCACAGAAAAGTGCCACGGTATTAATTAAGTTCTTTTGCACCAAAGGGGGACAGTATGTGCTGTCTGTGTTACAAGTATTCAAGACAAAAATTATAACCCAAATGCTCTATGGCTCCCAAATATTTGCGCACTCCAACATCCATCACCTCGAGCTGGTATAGACAAAATTCTTGAGGGCTATTTTTGCAGTTCCCTCATGCACTGCCAACAGAACACTGAGGTTGGAGGCAGAGTTAGTTTCTATTAGATCTTAGCACAGGCTAAGATTCAGATGCTTAATTATTGGTTAAAGTTAATTTTTGCCTGGTAGGTTTGACACCATTGATATTATTAGACACCTCCTACTCGGAATGGAAGCGTTTCCTGAGTATGGAATTGACTCAGATAAGCTTTTCTCCCAGCGTTCTCGTAACAATGGGTTACGCAAATGCTAAAGCAGTCATAAAACAAAGGATACAGGATATAAAACTACAAAAACACTTAGGCTTGCTGGACAAATGCAGTGCAGTACGAAATCGAAACTTTAAACCTCCTGTCTATCTGTCCAATTTAACACCCCCTAAGTTTAGAAGAGCCTTTATTCTAGTGAGATTCAATCTCCTGGCCTCTAAATTTTTAGAAGGAAGATTTCAAGGTATCCCCTACACTGAATGTTTATGCCCCTGCAATGGGGAAAAGATTAAATCTGTGGGACATGTTTGTTACAGTGCTCATTTTATCAAGATCTGCGAAGGTCTCTCCTACTATCCATTCTACACAGAAATTTCCTGGGAGAAATACAAATTTCTAGATAACTTTGCTGCTTTCAGACAGAGTCCCAGATATCACTCTCAAAGTGGCTAAATATTGTGCTGCTGTAATATCATACCATAACCTCCTGTTCTTGTGAGGCTGCTGGTTGCCCTGGTCTAACGTTATGACAATAAATCTTCAATGGCTTTTGGTGTGTGTTTTATCTGTGCTTGTTTACTATGTTATTAGATGTCTTAAAAGAAAATGTTAACATGGAAATTAATGTTTTATAATGGATCACCTGTTTTTAGAGGTTATGGAAATTATATTTTAATTCTAATATATTGCTGGTCTTTGACCATGAATAAACGACTGATTGCTTCCTTTTTATATATTTGAAAATGCTATCTGTTCTGATAATTCTCACTATTAGCACAAGTTCTATCTGTACTTTTCAAAGTATTTTATTCAGCTCAAAATGTGTAATAGCTCAATTTTACACAGTATGTAACTGTGGTTACATTGATGTGAAATACTGTCCAGCTTGTCCAAATTGTACAGCAATTTGCTAACAGAGATATGACTGGAAATTCATCGAGTCATGACATAAAATTTGTTGTATCCAACTTAATTTATCGAGTTATTGAGCCTGTATACTTTTATTCCTTGGATCTTTATCCTGAAAATGAACAGATGTTTCACTGCCCTTCACATGACAACACACAGCTATGCTTTCAGGAGTCTGGACTTGTTGCATAAAGATTTGCCACTTATTCCTAGACATTAATATATTTTAAATTTCATTATTGGAATCTCAGCCTTTAACGTGTACTTAACATTTTGAAGCATTTCCCTGCAGCTAATAAGGTTCATGATTACAGAGTGATGGTGATGAGAAAAACCTCTGAATATAATCGGCTCTACTGTGAGAAAATGAAATAAAATGTAGATTATTAACTGTGTGTATGCTGTGTCTATACACAAAGTGGACGGTTAAGGACCTTAAAAAAAGTCTTTTTCAATTGAAATAAAGTGAAACTCTTAGTTGTTTAAAGGATTATTAAGGCTGCAAAATGTGGATTGCTGAAGTATATCTTCAAATTCAGTTTGTTTGTTTGTTTGTTTGTTTGTTTGTTTGTTTGTCTGTTTGTTTATATATATCCTACCCATCTGGTCTATACGACCACTCTAGGTGGCTTCCAGAGTAACATAAATACAATAAAATAACACAAAAATATTACATAAGACAACCAGTAACAAATTACAATACAAAAATAGAGTAAGTAGTAAATAAAGAGAGAATAATGAGTTTCAAATTTTACAATTAATTCATTATCAGATATTTGACAATTAACAATAAGAAAGAAGAATTTTTGACTGCTTCACAGAACCATAACCCTATTCAGGTGTGGGTATTGTTGGCTTCATCTAAACAGGTAGCGGGGAGTGTATACCCCACCACCTCTGTCATTGTTTTATACATGTGGTGACCAAGGAGTCTGAAGAGGAAAAGTTATTAAAGAGCAGGAACTTCCCCAGTTCAGATGCCTTTTGTCATTTTGTGTAGAAAACAATCACGATGGACATGGTTCTAGGTGCCCATATATTTTCCTTTGCTAGCCCTGGCTGGGGTTTTGCATATGGTACAAGGAATGAGGGGGAAAATAACAGAATGAACTGTATCAATTCATACTACAAATGGAATATGCCCCATTTAATGCTCACATGGCCATTTGAGTTTTAATTGTTGGTATATGTCTTAGAGCCCCATGGCACAATGTTTGCTGTACTGAATCTGTTTTCTTAGTTCCATAAGACGCACAGACTTTCCACGCCCCTGTTTTGTGGGAAAAAAGTGAGTCTTATGGTGCAAAAAATACAGTATGTCTTAGAGCCCCATGGCACAGTGTTTAAACTGCTGTACTGCAAGCAAAACTGTGCTCATGGCCCGGGTTTAATCCTAGGCAGCCAACTCGAAGCTCACTTAGCCTTCCAGCCGTCTGAGGTTGGTAAAATCAGTACCCAGCTTTCTGGGGGTGGGGGGTGGTGGGGACAATGTGCATAATTAAATTGTAAACTACCCAGCGAGTGTTTTAAGTGGTATGTGGTGGTATATAGGCGGCATGCTTTGCTTTTGCTTTTAAGTTATTGATGTGTGATGTAGGTGTGAAGTGAATGGGTTTTGATTTGTTCTTATTTATGGTTTTCTATTCAGTTTGTTAGCCATTTAGACTAGTGCCCAGCACTAAGTCCACAATATAGAAATAAATGAATGAACAAACAAGCAAATAAATAAATAAATAAACAAACAAACAAACAAATAAATAAATACTATATGAGATAGTCTTGTGCACTGGCTCTGGGTTCAACCGTAGAGGTTTCTACAGGTTAAAATCCTTAACATGTGGTTTGTGCATCACTCATTTGTTTTTTGCTTATCTTAGAAACTATGAAGAAACCCTGGAGTCCTAGTTCATCCCAAGACAATGTCCCCTGTGCTGCAGATTTCACTTGTTTGCATGAAAGAGAAAATGTGGCAGAAGTAACACCTGATGACAGTGAGGAAAAGAAAGAGAGAGAGAAGAAACATGCCAGTTTTACTTTGTGCAGTGTGTGCAACATTCAGCTGAACTCAGCTGCTCAGGCACAGATCCACTATAATGGGAAGTCACACCAGAAACGATTGAAACAGCTCAGCAATGGGAATCTAAAAACCGAACATGGTAAGCTTCTTGCTGTATTCCATCTTGTGAGAGCTATTATGCTTTATCAGATATGTTTTTGAAGATATATTGGTATGATTTTGAAATACTGCCTGAGTTCCTTTTGAGTCTATTTGGATGCCTTGCTCTCTTTGCACAATTTTGATATACTGAATTATTTATAAGTGTGATGCAGTGTCTGGTATTGAATTTAAACAGTACAAAGATATTATGGATAAAGAGTAAGTAATGAACCTGTTAGACAAAAGAAATTATAGTTCAAATGATTACAATTAAATATTCATGTCACTGTGCTGAGATGGCATTCTGCATTCTGTGCCTTACTTGGAAGGTACAGGCTTGATTAGAACAGGATTTTCCAGCCATTCTACATGCTTTTACAGTGTATAGGCTACAGCAGTAAATGCTCCTTGGGGCTTTCCTTGAAGGGTGTTCAGAAGCTTTAGTTTGGCCAAAGAGCTGCAAAATAATAAATACAAACTTGGTTTTTCAAGATCTGTGTGGCGTTTCTTTGTGGCAAAACAGATGCAGAGTAAAATGCTTAGTTTAGCCAAGAAGCATGAGAAAAAAACATTTTAACCTTTTGCTCTGGAACAGTCTTTAGTACTTTGCTCTTGCAGTATCATTCTCACTATAGCCAGTCTAAGCTCGTACACCTTGACAATTCTCTGCCTTCAGCAAGAAAGACAAAAAAAGAGCATTGTTGGAGCCCCCCTCCCATGCAATGACCAGTTGCTTGGACAATTGAACAGTTGCTATTGGCATTTAAGAGGCAGCTTGCTATGTTACTGAATTCTCATAAAAAGCACTGCTGCCCATTTGCAAAAACTTTCAAGAAGAGGGCACATTCATTGGAGAAGGAAACGGTGAGAGATGATTGGATGTAATTTTGGTTTTGTACCATCACAGAGTAGTTCTTTTTCTTCTCACATGATCCACATTCTTCCAACATTTTTTTCTAAAAGAAGGAAATAAGCAATGGGGTCTTTTATTCCTTGCTTTTTTTCTCCTTGTCCAGTTTACCCAAAAAGAGACTTAGAAGATTTGGCTTTCCATTTTCAACTATGCATAATTTGTCATTACAGTACTTGTAAATGTGAACTAACTATGGTTAGCCTTAACTGTGATACCTACAAGTTTATGAAAACTGTGGTTTATGAATGTAGGTTGTTTTCATAAACCTGAGATAAGATTAAGTGTGACAGAATGAAAATAGCAGTGAAAGGTGCCATTTCCATGTTACCATTTCTGAAAAGGAGGGAAATCTGGGAGAAGCTAACATGCATCCCTATAACAATAAATTATAGTTTAACACTTTATTTTTTTTCCTGATTGCTTGAATTACTAAAAGTAGAGGAACTACAGTAACTTGTCCATTTACTGTTTGTCTGTCTAGCGGCACTGCACTCATCTAGCTGTCTATAGTAAGAGATGTTTCATGTTTATAATTCACTACAGTGTCCTGGTGTTAAACTATCTAATTCCTTTCTCATTTCTCTCCCTTTCCATTTTGTGCTGTGATTAAGTAAAGAATGTGTCTCTTATTGAGAAAAACAAAGGGAAATATCTTCTTTTTCCTAAGCAAATTCTCCCCTGAGAAATTTTGAGGAACTCTTGTAGGATTTATCTGAAATTTTCTAGTAATTTTTCTGGAGGAAATTCCAGGCTGCACATATGATTTCTGTGCAGAATAGCTCCCCCCCCCCACAAAAGATTCATCAGGAAGGGAAGGAAAAATGACAAACTCTGCCATATTGTTACAATTCCTGTGCATGATGGCATCTTTATTGTGCAGGATTAAACCAGAAAGCTGCACAGAGTTTGGCAATTAACTGTGCAAAGTATTAAAAATGAAGGATAGGAAGAAGTGAGGCTGGGTTCTCCTTTTTTCAGAAAGCCAAGAAACCTTGCTGGAGGCAGGAAGTCTTGGCAAAATGAGACTCAGAAAATTACCAAAAATGATATTTTTTTCATGTACATGTAACATCCAATGTTTTTTTAATTTGTTAAACATGGGGACAGAACTGATATCTATTTCTATTTCACATGTAAGAACATTGGAAGACAAAAATTATAGTGGTGTGAAAATGCAATAAATAATAAAGGAATAATAATGAATATAAATGTTAAGATTTTTATAGCTCAAATCTAGTAGCAAGTTGGAATTGGATAAAGCCCATTGAATCATTGGAGACTAGAGTCTAGAATTATAAAGCCCTCCCTCAAGGAGGTAAGAGGGATGGCTTGCAGACAAAGGGCCTTTTTGGCAGCTGCCCCCAGACTATGGAACACCATCCCAATTAGGATTCGTCTGGCGCCAACACTGATGTTATTTCGGTGCCAGGTAAAAACCTTCCTGTTCCAGAAGGCTTTTAATTGAAATAATATCAACTGTGGGACCTGATGCCAATTTTTAAGAGTATATATTTTTATTGTATTTCAATTGGTTTATCTTTTTTATTGTATTTCAAAATGGACGGGAATGGGTGAATTCAATTCAGATGATTATCATATATACTATTGTGGGCAAGAATCCCATAGAAGAAATGGAGTAGCCTTCGTAGTCAACAAGAGAGTGGGAAAAGCTGTATTGGGATATAATCTCAAAAATGATAGAATTATTTCAATACGAATCCAAGGCAGATGTCTCAACATCACACTAATCCAAGTTTATGCACCAACCACCAATGCTGAAGAGGCTGAAATTGACCAGTTCTATGAAGCCTTACAACACCTTCTAGAACTGACACCAAAGATGTTCTTCTCATTATAGGGGAGTGGAATGCTAAAGTAGGGAGCCAAGAGATAAAAGGAACAACAGGGAAGTATGACCTTGGAGTTCAAAATGAAGCAGGGCAAAGGCTAATAGAGTTTTGTCAAGAGAACATGTTGGTCATCACATACACTCTTTTCCAACAACACAAGAGGTGACTCTACACATGAACATCACCAGATGGGCAATACCGAAATCAGATTGATTATGTTCTCTGCAGCCAAAGATGGAGAAGCTCTATCTATACAGTCAGCTAAAAAAAAAAAAACAAAAAAACCTGGAGCTCATTGTGGCTCTGACCATCAGGGACCTAACAGAAGCAGAAGACATCAAGAAGGGGCGACAAGAATACACAGAAAAATTATACCAGAAAGATCTGGATGTCCTAGATACCCCAGATAGTGTGGTTGCTGACCTTGAGCCAGACATCCTGGAGAGTGAAGTCAAGTGGGCCTTAGAAAGCATGGCTAACAACAAAGCCAGTGGAGGTGATGGCATTCCAGTTGAATTATTTAAAATCTTAAAAGATGATGCTGTTAATGTGCTATACTCAATATACCAGCAAGTTTGGAAAACTCCACAGTGGCCAGAGGATTGGAAAAGATCAGTCTACATCTCAATCCTAAAGAAAGGCAGTGCCAAAGAATGTTCCAACTACCATACAATTGCACTCATTTCACATGCTAGCAAGGTTATGCTCAAAATCCTACAAGGTAGGCTTCAGCAGTATGTGGATTGAGAACTCCCAGAAGTACAAGCTGGATTTCGAAGGGGCAATTAGAGACCAAATTGCTAACATGCACTGGATTATGGAGAAAGCCAGAGAGTTCCAGAAAAACATCTGCTTCTGCTTCATTGACTAGGGAAAAGCCTTTGACTGTGTGGACCACAGCAAACTATGGCAAGTTCTTAAAGAAATGGGAGTGCCTGACCACCTTATCTATCTTCTTAGAAATCTATATGTGGCACAGGAAGCAACAGTTAGAACTGGATATGGAAACACTGATTGGTTCAGAATTGGGAAAGGAATATGACAAGGCTGTATATTGTCCCCCTGCTTATTTAACTTATATGCAGAATACATCATGCGAAAGGCAGGACAGGATGAATCCGAAGCCGGATTTAAGATTGCTGGAAGAGATATGCAGATGATGCTACTCTGATGGCAGAAAGTGAGGAGGAATTAAAGAACCTCTTAATGAGGGTGAAAGAGGAGAGTGCAAAAAACGGTCTGAAGCTCAACATAAAAAAAAAAACTAACATCATGGCCACTGGTCCCATCACCTCCTGGCGAATAGAAGGGGAAGATATGAAGGCAGTGACAGATTTTACTTTCTTGGGCTTCCTGATCACTGCAGATGGTGACAATAGCCACAAAATTAAATGACTTCTGCTTCTTGGGAGGAAAGCGATGACAAACCTAGACAGCATCTTAAAAAGTAGAGACGTAACCTTGCCGACAAAGGTCTGCATAGTCAAAGCTATGGTTTTTCCAGTAGTGATGTATAGAAGTGAGAGCTGAACCATAAAGTAGGTTGACTGCCAGTTTCATGGGCCTCATGCAAGGTTTAAAAGGGCCTTTGTCATTTTCCCCTCTTCCCTGAGTGTGGCACCAGCATTTCTGAGATGCGGAGTAGGAGGGACAGTTGCGGTTTGATGGTGCTATAAGGCTGAATTTTGCACTTTTATTATTTTGATATTTGACAAGTTGTAAAACTTGTGAAATAAAAGATTTAAAACATTGTTAAGGAGTTCCAAAGGGACTGATTGCTTTCCTGTTTAAAATGCTAAAATTAAGACTGTAGATTTGTTGGAGTAAATTGAGCATGGTAATGAACTATTTTATTTAATTAGCCTGCTGTGGGTGGTGATTATGTGGCTTGGGAATTTGCTGACTGATTTTTCATGGTTTAGCAACTGGAACAGTTCCGACTCCAGGGTTCTGTTTTGAAACTTTAAAAGAAAACATACACAAACCAAGCTCATTGTCTGTGTCAGCCAGCAAGGTGACTGTATCTGCAGGTTATGGGTGCAACATCCCCTCAAAAAAAGAAACCAGACATCTGGCCAGTTCCTGGTTTTCCTTTTTTCAATTTTTGGTCATTCTTGGCAATTCCCAGGCCTGGCCTCCACCAAAGTTCCAATACAAAGTTGCATACTCCATTATGCCAATAAGAACAGCACCTATCTGCAAAATTACTTACATCTCACTTTTTAAAAACTCTCA